TCCTGCCCCTAGCACATCTATGGGCTGCCGCACCAGCGTGGCGCGGGTCGACGCCAACCACCCACCCTGGATCTTCCTGTTGGATCCCAAGGGCTGCGAGCGACTGCCGGGCACCGAGACGGTGATGAACAGGAAGATCACGGCTGAGGTATCACAAAAACCTGTAGCAGACAGGAGCTCACGGGCCCGGCTCTTTGCTCCCCGACAGCAGGAAGCACCCAAAGAGAAACCACAAGACGGGAGCAGTGTGGGTGCTGCTGGGGCCGGAGTGTGGCCGCACGCTCCGCGCTGCCTCGTGCTTCCTCCCCGCATCCAGATGTGCCGGCAGATCCCGGCAGCCCCTTCCCCCTTTTGGGAAGGATGCGAAGGGGAAGGGGCAGGGGCCATCGCATCCCTCCCAAAAGGCCACCACCAAGCCCCGGCTGCTCCATCTGGGTCCCATCTGCTGCTGTTGGCTCCTGTCCCTTCCCCCAGCCCTAAACTCAGATGTATTTAAACACACACATCAAAGGTGCCGGGCAGCCCCCGGGGAGCCCCAGCTCGCACAACGTTTCCTTCTATTAGCTGGAAGTGGGGCACAGTGAGCTCCAGAGCCTGCAGCATCCATGGGGCCAGAGCCGTCCCGCTGGGCATCACCTCTGTGGTGACGGTGATGGGGAGGAAGCCACGACCCCACCAGAAGCGGGAGTTTGGGATGGATTTTCACACCGTTATCAGCAAGAATCCCTGCGGCAAACCCCATCACACCGCCCGCCTGCGCTGGGGCCTCGGCGCCAACCGGGACACCAGGATCCCACCAGAGCCACCGACCAGGGAAGGGGTGAGGCTGAGCCCAAGCACCAAGATCCCAGAGGATCCCAGTGTGCCCTTAGCAGCTCGACCGGAGGCCACGGCGGCACCGATAGGGATGCACGGCAGAGCCGAGAGCAGGGGAGGGGACGCACGCGTGTCTCGGCGGGCACTTACTTGCTTGAACTGCTCCTCGTAGGTCCAGTCACCGTGGTCGGGCGCCGGTGGCGGGGGCTGCGCGTGGCCCAGCCCCGGGGGGAGCCGCTCCTGCCCGCCCGGCACCCGCTGCGGCTCGCCCCGGTAGTGCTGCGGCGCCGGCGGCTTGCGGAGCAGCAGGGAGCCCGCGCCGGCCCCCACCGCCTCTGCCGAGCCGAGCCCTTCCTCTCCCATATCTTCCTCCTCCTCGTAGTCTTCCTCTTCCTCCTCCTCCTCTTCTTCCTCTTCCTCCTCGCCCAGGTCCTCTTCAAAGTCATCTTCGTCCCACTTGCCCTTCCTAGAGCAGGAGGGAGAGGAAGGATTCAGCGGCTGGGTCCCACACGGGGCAGTGTCCCCCCTCCTCTCCCACCTGTCCTCCCCATGGGCACCCCACAGCCGTGGGGCTGGGACCACCCACCCGGCACACAGTGACCTGGTGCAGCCCCAGCGGTGGCTCTGCCATATGGCTCCTGCATATTCCCTGCTCCAGAGAGGCTGCGAGGAGGCAGCCACGAGGGCCCTGCATTATTTAGAGCCAGCGCAGCATCCTCTGTCACGGCCCCACACAGCTCTCGGGCAAAGACGGAACGTTGCCCCATGCCAGCATCCAAGACATCCCCACGGCACTAATCCACAGCACAGGCTTCCCCGGCAGCCTCCACCACCACGGCCAGCCCCAGTGGGATGCTGGTGTCCCCAGCTGTACCAAAACCCACCGGAGCCGGATCACATCCCTGCCCCTTTCCCAGTGCTGGCGGACACTCACAGATCCTCCTCCTCCTCCGAGCCCATCTCCTGCTGGTACCCGCCATCCTCCTCCTCCTCCTCCTCCTCCTCGCCGTGTTCCTCCTCCTCCTCCTCCGAGGCCTGGCTCTCATCCGACGGCCCGGGGCTGGACGAGTGGCTCAGGCCGGCGGCTGCCGCCCGCATGGCAGCGAGAGCGGCCATCTGCGCCCGCTGCATGTGCGCGCTCTCAGGCTCCGCTCCTTCCTCCGAGGGTGCCGGGGCCGCATCCTGACCGCGGGCACGGGCCGGGGTGCTGGCTGGAGGCTGCCCTGGGCCTGGCGTGGGCTGCGCCGGAGGGGACGTGGAGCGCTGCTGCTGCTGCTGCTGCTGCTGCTGCTCCTGCTGCCGCGCTTCCAGCGCCTGCTGCAGCCGCGCGCGCTGCTGCCGCTGCAGGTTCTCCATCACCGCCTGCAGCTTCATGGCTCTGCCGGCGGGCGGAGGGTCCCCGGGGGCACGGGGGGCCACGCAGCCGGGGGGCAGCACCCGGGGGCCGCGGGGGGCAGCGCCCGGCACGCTGCTGTGCTCCAAGGCTGGGCCGCGCCGTGGGGGGCAGCCCTGCAATGGGGCTGCCCGGGGGGGCGAGGGCGGCTGAGGGGCTGCAGTGCTGGTGGGTGTCCGGGCAGGAATGGCCACCACCGGCAGGGCAGGGCAGCAGGATGTGCCCCCGGCCCCCCTCAGCCTTGCCCCGATGCCTCCTTCACTCGAGGGCTCCCTGGGCTCAGGGTGCTGCCGGTGAACGCGTCCGAAGCCTCCTTGGGCTCAACAGGCAGCAGCTGTAGCCCGGAACATCGCTGCCTCCGTCACCAACCGGGGTCAATGCGGTGTGTCCCCCCCCCGTTCGGAGCCTGGCGTCCCTCAGTCCTCCTCTGGCTCAGCTTCTGGCACGCGTCGGCGCAAACCTGCCGGGAGAAGCGGAGCCGAGGGTCAGTGGAGCTGGTGGCAGGAGCCGGCGAGCAGGAAGGAGTTAAAGACAGCGCAGGAGCCTCATTAATCTCGAGCTAATGAGATAGGGCCGGGGCCCTGCTGCTGGAGGGGGAAGGGGCCTGCCGGACCCGATAGCCCAGCCCGGCCCTGCAGGCAGCGGATACCGGGATACGGGGGGACCAGCGCACGCAGATAACAGACCCGCTGGGAGGGCAGAGCCGCACCGTGGGTCGCCCATGGGGGACAGGGCAGCTCCCCACGTGGGGACACCAGAACAGTCCCAAAGTGTGGGGGGAACCCATGTGGGATCCCCAGGGTGATGCAGGGCTGTGGGTGCCTCAACTCTTTTTCACCCCGCCGGCGCGCACTGGAGGAACCAGCACAGCACGCCCTCACCCAGCACAACCAGAGCCCATGCCAAAGGCAAGGAGGGAGCTCACAGCCGTGGTGGTGCCACGCACGGGCAGTGCTGCCCCGGCAGCGCCGGAGAAGGCGGCAGCGACTTCTGGAAAGGGGAACCCATTTCCAGCGCGGTCGCTTCCCCCGCGCCTCTCTGCAGCCGCCGCATCCGCTCGCAGCCCCGCCGCGCTCTGCTCGGCCGCTGCCAACACGGGGAGCCCGCGCTGCTGCCTCAGTTTCCCCTCCTCTACCGCAGCCATCCCCATGGTGCGGGAGGCACCGGGGCAGGGGACAGGGTCCCTCCATGCTCCGCACCGCAGCAGCGTCCGGCCGCGTCCTGTGCCAAGGGCTCGACTCCGTCCCCTGCACCGGCGAGTGCCACGAGCAGAACCAGAGCGAGACTTGTCCCAGGCACGTGCTCCTCTGGCGAGTCACCAAATCACTCAGTGCCAGCACCGGCGCTGCCGGGAGCCAGGTGCGGAGCTGCTGCCTCCAGCCCCGGCCTTGCCCCCGCTGCCACATCCCCGCAAGGGACCGGAGCCCGAGCGTGGCCCCCGCGGTGACTCCAAGCCCAGAGGACCGTGGCACCCCGGCCCGCGGTGACCTTGAGCCGTGCCCCTTTGTCCCCTCCTGGCCGCTCGGTGCCTCCCGGCTGCGAAAGGGGGGGGGGGGGGCGGATTTGGGGCGTCCCCGCGGGGGCAGGTGCTCGGCAGCGACAGCGGCTGCACCGGGCTAAAAATACCCGGCACGGGCGGGGTGGGAGCGACGGGGCCTTTGTGCCACCGGCACCGGGCCCGGCCGCGGACGGACACCCCTGGCTCTCCGGTGGGGGGGGGGGGGAGCTCACGCCACCGCGGGGCATGAAGCGAGGACGGGCCCGGGGGTTGCCGGTCCCTGGGCACAGACGGAGATAAGGGGGGCCGCCGGGGGGGTTTCGTCCCCAGGGCTGAGCCCGGCCCCGGGGCACGTGGCACCGGCGGCCCCCGCCAGCAGCGGGGAAGGGGGGGGGGAAGCGGCCCCCCCTGACCGGGATGAACCAGCGGCTCCCACCCGGTCCCGGCCGCCTCCTCCGGTCGGTGCCTCGGGACGCCCCGGGCGCGGGTACAGGGCGGCGGCGGCGGCGGCTCCGTCCCGTGTCCCCGGGCGGGGCGGGGTGGGGCGGGGCGCGGGGGGCTCTAACCGGCCGGGACAGTAACGCCCGCAGGGGACGGAGGGGCCGCGCCGGGAGCGGCCGCGGGGGAGGGAGCCGGAGCCCCGGGCCCCGTGCGGGGGAAGCGTCCGGTAACCGGCCATAGAAGGGGGAAGAGGAGCCCCGGTCCCGCCCTGCAACCGGCCGCGGGGGTCCCAGCCCACCCAAGGGACGCGGCCAGTCCCCGGTCCCGCCCAGCCCCCGAGCGCGGCGGGGAGCCCCCGATCGCCGGTACCGGCCAGCGGGGGAGGTCCCGGGGGAGGTCCCGGTGCCGGTCGCAGGGCCGGGGAGGGGGGTTCCCCGCTTACCCGGTGGAGGCCGAGCGCCGCGAAGCCGCATAGCAGCGGCGGCCGCCCGGGGCTCGGGCTGCGGCGGGGCCGGGGCGCGATCGCTGCCCGCTCGGCGGCTGCTCTCCCCGCGGGCAGGGGGCGGTGCCCGGCCCCGCCCCGCCCCGCGCTGCCATTGGCCCACGGCACCCTCCGCGCCCCGCCCCGCCTCCCCATTGGTCCGCTGCGGCTGCCGCATGCAAATACCGCGCGGGGAGCGCGGCCGCAGCGCCGCCTAGCGGCCGGGAGGGGCAGCGCCGCCGCCTTGAAGGGCGCGGCCCCTTTAAGAGCCCCGAGGCAGCGGAGTGGATTTAAAGGGGCCGCGTCCCCGGGGTTCCGTCACCACCGAGCCCCGGTTCTGGGGGGTTCCCCCCCCCCCCCCTCCCTCCCAACCACCGGGACCCGGTTCCGCCCCCCCCCGCGGCACCCCGGGGGTGGGACCACGAGGAGTCCCGCCCTTCTGACGCCACTTCCTGCGGGAGCGCCCCGGTGCCGGTACCGGGCCATGGTGGTGCTGCGCGGCGGTGCGGGCCCCGAGGAGCCCTACCCGTGAGTGCGGGGCGGCGGCGGGGGCTGCCGGGGCGAGGGGCTGCCGGGGGCCCGGCCCGGTCTCCATCCTTTGGGCAGTCGGTGCGGTCGCGGCTCCGTCCCGCTTTCTCCTCCCGGCTCCGGTCCGTCTGCGGCTGGGGGGGATCGGCGGCGGCTGCACCGAGCCGGGAGAGGTTCTGCGCCGTCGGCCCGGACGGTGTCAGTGGCCGGAGGCCGTGATTAGGGTAATGGGGTAATGAATGTTTACCCCGTGAAGGTCACGGGCGCTCCCTGGGGACACCGAATGGGATGCGCCGTGGGGCGGCCGGGACCGGGGTTTTGCCAGCTCCGAGCAGCATTCCCACCTGGCAGCGCTGTCTGTGTGGGCGCCGGTGGGTGCCGTGTCCATTCGCTGCACGATAACCAACGGCATCTGGTTAAAACCCCCCCCGGTCGGGAGCGGGGACGGCTTCTTTCTTGCTTGGCAAAGAGCAGATGGAGGAAAAGCCGCTCAGCTCCGTGTGGAGCCGGCTCCCGGGAGTCGGGGTTTTACTGCGAGCTGGTACGGGAAGGGGTCCCCGTGATGATGGTACCATGGACGTGGAGCTCGTCCGAGCCCGGTGCCAGCAGTGACTCCTGCGGCTGTGGCAGTGCCAAACGGGACGTGGCAGCGCAGGGTGCCCGGGATTGGTGCCCCGGAGGCTTCGAGGAGCTGAGGCTGAGCCTGCACTGAGGCTTGAGGCTCAAAGGGGACCGAGGGGTCCCTATGGGGGGCCGGGGATGCTCCCACCCTGGCGGCACTCACCCATCACTCACCCCTTTGTTCCTGCCAGCAGAGCCCGGAGGTTGAGCCCTTCTCTTCCTCCACCCGCTGCCCTGGGTGAGGGCTCCCCTGCCTATGAAAGCAGGGTCAGTGTTTCCCACTCCGTGCCTTGGACCCTTCTCCTTGAAGGGCTTTTCCTGCTGCCCCAGGGCCGAGCTGGTGGTGCTGAGCTCTGTGTGCTCAAACCCGTGCTGGTGGAAGGTGACACCCTCCATTTATTACTGCTTTTAATCGCCTCTCTAGCAAACCTCAACCTGGCCTGGGGTTACCGCTCCCCACACGCCTGCAATAGCCCTTTTATGTATTCCAAAGCCACCTCTCTGCTGCTGTTTCCACTGGAAGGGGGGAGATTGTTGGTTCTCCCCCCCCCACAGAGGCTTCAGTTCAGGGCAATGGTGGGGGGGAAATCAAGGTTTTGGCATGGGCAGGTGGCTGGCGGCTGTCCCGGGCTGGAGCTTGTAATCGGCTGGAGCAGCCCGTGCTGTGCCAGCACCTGATTGCGGGACGGGTCTGCCCTGAACCCCACGGTGCTGGGAGAGCTGGGCTGGGGCAGCCTGGAGAAGAGAAGGCTCCTGAAGGGGAGACCTGAGAGCAGCTCCAGTGCCTAAAGGGGCTGCAGGGAACCTGGAGAGGGGCTTGGGACAAGGGCCTGTAGGGACAGGCCAAGGGGAATGGCTTGAACCTGCCAGAGGGGAGACTGAGCTGAGCTCTTAGGCAGAAGCTCTTCCCTGGGAGGGTGCTGAGGCGCTGGCACAGGGTGCCCAGAGAAGCTGTGGCTGCCCCATCCCTGGCAGTGTTCAAGGGCAGGTTGGACACAGGGGCTTGGAGCAAGCTGCTCCAGTGGAAGGGGTCCCTGCCCGTGGCAGGGGTTGGAGCTGGAGGAGCTTTAAGGTCCCTTCCAACCCAAACCAGGCTGGGATTCTGTGACAGGGTGGGCACAGCTCCATGGCAGGGGCAGGGGAGGACGTGGATGCCGCTCCTGTGTGGGGTGGTTTGGTCTGGGGGTGTGGGTTTTCTCGCCGCCCCCCCCCCTTCTGCTGCGCTAAAGGAAACCCACACAAACCCAAGGGGAAGCTGCAGCACAGAACTGATGGGTAAAGAACGAGCCAGGAGGCAGTGACACTTCCTGCCTTGGTGAACTTTGAGACCCGAGCTGTTGCATTGAGCTCAGCTTCTTACTCATCCCATGAAATCATCTCCAGTTTGGCGGTCATCCCTAAACCATGCGCGTGGCCAAGTGGCACCGTGACCATAGAGTTACTCATGAACCGCCTTTGGGGGTACCCGGCAGAAGCAGCACCACCAGCCCGTGCTGGGAGCCGTGGGGAGCAGTACCGGTGTGGAGGGAAGCGCCGGCCCAGCCGGTGATGACATGGCCAGGGCGGGCGCTGCCTCGATAACCGGAGATAGGAGCCGTTGCCATTGCCAAGGGCAGGACGGCTCCGGTGGCTCTGGCTGGGTGATGGCGAGCGCGAGGTGCGGCGGGGTCCCCCCTGTGGGATTGACCCCTCTCGTTTCGCCCCGTGTGCCGGTGGGATTCGTTACCTGGAACGCGTGGCTGCTTTAAGCAGGCCTTGGAGCCAGCCGTGGTTGAGCCGCACAGCGCTGCCGTCAGCAGGGAGCGGAGGGGTGCAGGGTTAGGGGGAGGATGGGGTGCCTGCTGCTGACGCTCTGCTGCTGTGGGCTTTCCTTGGGTTTGCAATGCTGCGGCTGCCCCAGTGGGTCTCAGGGTGGGCTCAGTCCCTTCTCCCCTGTGTCGCCGCAGGAGGATCGAGGACTGCTTGCCCCCACTGGAGGATTCGCCATCCAAGAGGTTCTCCCCTTCCAAGAGGAAGCAGTATTACATCAACAAGGCCATCCGCAACTCGGACCTCACCCCCAGGGCCAAGGGGCGCAAGAGCCTGCAGAGGCTGGAGAACAGTAAGGACCCGGTACCGGCTCCCTACGAGGGGGTTGTGCCCCCCAAAACCCCTCTGCCGGGGGCCTCGCTGAAGGCACTGCCTCCTCTCTTGGGGGCTTTGCTCTTCCCCACAGCCCGTTACCTGATGACGCTTCTGGAGCGAGATGGATGCGGGAGCGAGGAGGGGGAACCCGTCCACTCCGCTGCCCCGAGCATCTTCACCGAGGCCTGTAACAACGAGACCTACGTGGAGGTAGGTGCGGGCATGGCCACGGTGGTCACCTTGTCCGTGGTGTCCATCCTGAGGGCTGTGCCCGGAGCGCTGCTGGGTGCCCATGGGACCTGCAGGGACCGGTACCGGGTCATCGGCTGCGGAGCCACCTGCATCCTCTCCCAGAGCGGCTTTTCCGCCCTGGGATGGACGATGAGGAGATGGGGAGGGAGGTGTGGGGATGTGGGGTGAGGAGGGGGCTCCCCGGCCAACTCTGCATCCCGGTACCCTGTGTTGTCAGATCTGGAACGACTTCATGAACCGGTCGGGAGAAGAGCAGGAGCGAGTCCTGCTCTACCTGGAGGAGGAGACCAGGAAGAAGCACAGGAGGAAGCTGCCTGTCAAGAGTGAAGACAAGTGGAAAGGTGCTGGGAGGGGACGCTGGGTGGGGAGAGCCTCTCCCTTTCCTCCTTGCTTGCTTTTGGGGAAGGGCTCTTTCCCGAGGGCTGCATCCTGGTGGGGCGGTGAATGAGGGACCTCAACTTCATCATAACGGGGGGGGGGATTATTCCTGACAGTTCCCACATGGGCCTGGGGAAGGAGTCGGGAGCATTGGGGTGATGCCTGCAGCCTCCCTCACTGCAGGGGGGCTGCCGCTGCTGCTGCTGTTCTGGGGGTGACCTCATGCAGACCCCCAAGGACCGAGGTGCAACGGGGAGGGGAGTTGGGCTCAGTGGTGATTCCATGCGGGTACCAGGGCTGGGCGCTGTGTCCAAGCCCTTTCCGTGTTCCCTCCGCCGGCCCCAGAGCACGCGTCCTACTCGCCCCAGGAGTGCTTCCAGCGCATCAGCCGCCGCCTGCGCGCCACCCTGAAGCGGGGCCGCATCCCCATGGTGAGCCGGGAGCTCTGGGAACGCCGGGGTGGGAACGGAGCCGTGTCCTGCGCCTGGCCGCGCACGGACGTCCTGCTGCCGGCACGGCGCGTTTCCGGGCTTGCTTTGGATGGTTCTGGCGTTAAAAACTCTTTTGCTGGGGCTGTTCCCATGGGCAGCGGGCGATGGGGGTGTTCATCCCCAGGGGAGCCTTGGAGCGCTCCGCACGGGCTAGTTGGGAATACCCAGATGTGTTCGCAAAGGGGCCCACAGTGAAGCCTGGATGGGGAGGGAAGCCCTGGGAGCCTGCTCTGCCTGCCCGGAGCCCCGGTGCTGATGTTCTGCTCCGTTTGCTTTGCACTGAGAGCAGCCCCAGCTCCTCCTGCCTGCTGGCTTCTGCTCCCTTTGCTCTCAAATGAGACTCGGTGCTGCTGCTCTCTGGGGTCGTGGTGCTCCAGGGACCTGCATTGAGCTGAGCTTTGGCTCCTGGGAGGAAAGGAGCCGTGGGCACGAGGCTGGGCTGGCTGCTGCCGCTCTGAGCATGGGGAAGGTGCCAGCCCCTTGGCACGCGATGTACGGGGTTGGCAGGAGCTGGATCCTTCCCTGCCCCAGGGGATGGAGCGGGGAGATGGCTCCTTTCCCTGCTCCTTCCTGCTGCCTCACAGCCAGGGGCTCTCCTTGGAGCTGCTGGCCTCAATCCCTCGGGAATCGGAGGCTCCATCGCTGCTGCCCTCCCCTCACTGACACCTCTGCCCACAGGGCACGCTGGAGGGGCTGGAGGAGGAGCTGCTGGCCTTCTTCTCTGTCACCCCTCACTCCGTCTACACAGCCCTGATGGACAACAGGTACTTGCCCAGCTCGGGCTCTGCAGGGGCTCACCCCAGGGCACTTTGTGCTCCCCATCTCGGATCCATGGGATCCAAGCCCCGGGCGATGCTGGTTTGGGCCGTGCTGGTTCTAACTCTGTCCCCCATCTCCCCCAGCTTCGAGCGGCTCCTGCTCCATGCTCTCTGCCAGTACATGGACCTCGTCTCTGCCAGTAGGAGCCTCGCCTTTGCTCACGTGGGGTTTTGGGGGCTTGGTTTTGGGGCTTTGTTTTTGTTTTTCCCTTCCCTTCCTCGCTATCTCCCCTCTGCAGCTCAGCCTCTTCCTCCCTCCCTCCTCCCGGCCCCACCTTGAGCTGCAGCTCACAGATAACCTCGTGCTCCCATCACTGAAGCCCAGCAGCCCAAAGCACGAGGTTGCTTGTGGGGCTCCCTCTTCTCTTCCCATAGGGAGCAGCCATGGGCATCCCTCAAAGGTCTTGTTGCCAAAGCAAGGCTGGGGCGGGGGGGGGGGAGAGGCACCGGGCTCCATCCCTGGAGCATTTAATTAGTAGCTGCTCATGGAAAACAGTGTGAGAGTGCTAATGATGGAGCCCATGGTGCAGACAGGGGTGCATGGAAGGGGGTGGGGATGGAAGGAGCTGGGAATGCCGCGGATGGGATCCCCAAGGGGAAGGGGTGGGATAAACGGCTCCCTTCTTCCCCCCCCATCCCAGGTTCGGACATCGAAGGGAAGCGTCAGATGAAAGTGAGCAACAAACACCGCATCTTCCTGCCCCCCGAGCTCCTGCTCTCAGACTACCTGGGGCAGATGAGCTGATACCCGCCCCCAAGGGACCCCCAGCCCCTCGCTTTGGCACGCCGAAGTCTTCCTTCATCCCTTCTCTCCCTGTTGATGCCCTCCTGAGGGGCTCATCCCTCTCCCCGCTCTGTGGAGATCCCGCATGGATCCGGCACCGGGGATGTGTTTTGTGTGTCTATTGATGGCCCAGGCGCTTCGAGCGATGCTGGGGCTGGGCCAGACCCCACCTCGTGGGGTGATTTCGGGCCAGATTCCTCCGTGGTGAACCAGCTCCTGGCGGCTGCCGAGCCAACGGAAGAGCCTCGGGGCTGTCGCGTTCCCGGCGTGGTTTGTCCAGCACCCGCAGGCCTGTGCCTGCGGTGGGGTGATGTGGGTTGCTCCATCACCACCACCACCACCACCCCCCAGGGCAGGGTGCTTCTCACCCCGTGGCTGTTTGGGCAGCGCCGTGTTCCCTGCGCCGCTGTTTTTAAGTGTAATATAGCTGTGTTTTTTATTGTGTGCAGTGTATTTGTGTGCGTGCTGCTTGGGGTGGGGGGGGATGCGGGGTAGGGGTGTCCCTGAGGGGGGTGTAAAGGGTGCTTATGGGGAGGCAGGGTGGCTGAGAAGCCCCATATGTGAGATCTCAGAGAACCACGGCATCAACCAAGTTGGAAACGAGCTTGAAGCTCTTCCAATCCAACCGATCCCATGGCACTGAGGGTGAGCGCTTGCAGGGCCGGTGCCTGCAGCCCTGCCATGGGCAGCCTGTTCCAATGCCCGAGCACCCTCTGGGGCAGGATTTGTGCCTCAGCTCCATCTAAACCTGCCCTGGTGCAGCTTGAGGCCGTTTCCTCTTACTCCTTTGGAGCAGAAACCACCCCCTTCTTGCTGCACCCTCCTGTGGGGCAGCTGCAGGGAGCAAAATCCCTGCCCCTCCCAGCAGCACCCATAGAGGAGGTGTCCGTGGCCGTGCCCCCACTTGGCAGAGGGGACCCCTGGGGTCCTCTCGTGAGCCCCGTGTCCAAAAGCAGCGCAGAAAAGGAGCAAAATATGGAACGCTTCACGAATTTGCGTGTCATCCTTGCGCAGGGGCCATGCTAATCTTCTCTGTATCGTTCCAATTTTAGTATATGTGCTGCCGAAGCGAGCACGAAGTCTTAGTTCACCACAGCGGTATTTAAACCCCTCGAATCCAAATATTAGCAGGAAAGGGTGATTCCGCGCTAACTGCATTATGGGCCTTCCTGTGTATTCCCCCGTTCCAAAGCGCCTCGGAGGGTGTTTGAACGCGTCTTTTTTTCACCAAAATCGCCTAAATCTCTCCGTTATTTTTGCGGCCGCCGCCGCGGTGCGTTCTGGGTCGGCAGCTTGCAAATGACATTGCCACCGGTCCCCTCCCCACCGCGGCGTTGAGGGCCTCCAGGCCGGGCTGCCCGCCGCGGTGCCTGAGAGAGCGGGGCGGGGTGGCGCAGGCGCGGGGGGCGGGCAGCCCGGCGGGGCGGGGGCCTCCGAGGCATCGCGTCCCCGGTGCCGGTGCCGGTGCCGGTGCCATGGACCTGGCGTACGTGTGCGAGTGGGAGAAGAGGCCCAAGAGCAACCATTGCCCGTCCGTGCCGCTGGTGTGCGCCTGGTCCTGCCGCAACCTCATCGCCTTCACCACGGACCTCAAGAATGAGGAGGAGAAAGGTGCGGGGGGTTCGTGCGGGTCTTACCCCCCCCCCCCCAATTCCTTAGGTTTATGGAGTCATGGGATGGGTTGGGATGAAGGGACCTTAAATCGCATCCAGCTCCAACCCCTGCCATGGGGACCCCTTCCACTGGAGCAGCTTGCTCCAAGCCCCTGTGTCCAACCTGCCCTTGAACTGCCAGGGATGGGGCAGCCACAGCTTCTCTGGGCACCCTGTGCCAGCGCCTCAGCACCCTCCCAGGGAAGAGCTTCTGCCTAAGAGCTCAGCTCAGTCTCCCCTCTGGCAAGTTCAAGCCATTCCCCTTGGCCTGTCCCTACAGGCCCTTGTCCCAAGCCCCTCTCCAGGTTTCCTGAAGCCCCTTCAGGCACTGGAGCTGCTCTCAGGTCTCCCCTTCAGGAGCCTTCTCTTCTCCAGGCTGCCCCAGCCCAGCTCTCCCAGCCTGGCTCCTTCCCAGCACAGCAGGGCTCAGGGCAGACCCATCACCATAGCAGTCATTCAGTGGCTTCCCCTGTGTCAGCCGTTGGCTCTGCAGCCTCACCTGGTCAGCCGGTGGCTGCTCAAGAGTGGTTTCCTTCTGCTCCCGTGTAGATCTCACCCACATGGTCCACATCATCGACACCGAGCACCCATGGGACGTCTACTCCGTTAACTCTGGCCACACTGAAGTCATCACTTGTCTGGAGTGGGATCAGTCAGGTGAGCTTGGACCTTATCCCTGCGTCCCACCATTCACAGGACACGATTCCTCATGGAGAATGAGTTTCTCCATCAGTTCACAGCCACGAACTGGCCATCTCCCTCCAAACCGCACTGGGGTGCTTTGATTTCTTCATTCTGCGTTGATTTCTTGCCCTTACCCCCTGGTTCTCCTCACTGCAGGCTCCAGGCTGCTCTCTGCAGACGCAGATGGGCACATCAAGTGCTGGAGCATGACGGATCACTTGGCCAACAGCTGGGAGAACACGGTGGGCAGCATGGTGGAAGGGGACCCGGTGGTGGCCCTGTCCTGGCTGCACAACGGCGTGAAGCTGGCTCTGCACGTGGAAAAGGTTTGTCCCAGCTCTGCAGGGCATGCGGGCAGGAAGGCTGGCTCGGGTCTTGGAAACCTCTGTTCCTGCTGCTCCGGGCTTCCTCCGTGGCCTTGGGCATGTCGCAGAGGGGAGTTTTTCCAGCCACAAAGAGCAGTCAGGTCCCAGGTTCCTGGGGGGGGTTCAGCGGGGGTTGGATGCCTCGTTTCTCTTGGTGCTTTAAAAGCATCTTCCTCAGTCTGGTGCTTCGGTTTCCTCGATGTTAAATGGAGATCAAAGAATTTCTTTGCCTACCAGAAGAAACCCTTTTGAGGGCCTGAGGCTTGATCTGGGTGTTTGGGAATGGGAGCTCTGTGTGTGCACGGAGATAAGCAGCGTGTAGAGAACCCTAATTCTGCCAGGCTCAAAAGGAGCAGGACTGCCAAGAAGTCGCCTACTGATGGGTTCTTACACCTGAACTCTTTGTGTGTCCCACAGAGAGGAGCTTTTCCCTCTCCTTAGTCCCATTGCAGAGCTGGTGCCCGTGTCCGACCCGGTTCAGCTCCACCTGGGGTGCAAACATCGTTGTGTTCTTGCCTTTTATTCCCAGTCTGGAGCATCCAACTTTGGTGAGAAGTTCTCCAGGGTCAAGTTCTCCCCATCGCTGACGCTCTTTGGGGGGAAGCCCATGGAGGGCTGGATCGCAGTGACCATCAGCGGGCTGGTGACCGTGTCCCTCCTCAAGCCCAACGGCCAAGTGCTGACGTCCACAGAGAGCCTGTGCCGGCTCCGCTGCCGCGTGGCCTTGGCCGACGTGGCCTTCACCGGCGGGGGGAACATCGTGGTGGCCACCTCGGATGGCAGCAGCACCTCCCCGGTGCAGTTCTACAAGGTCTGTGTCAGCGTGGTGAATGAGAAGTGCAAGATAGACACCGAGATCCTGCCTTCCCTCTTCATGCGCTGCACCACGGACCCAGCCCGCAAGGACAAGTACCCGGCCATCACTCACCTCAAGTTCCTCGCTCGGGACATGTCGGAGCAGGTGAGCATCTGCACTTAGAGCAAGCAGGAGTTACACAGAGAGGTCTCAGCCTCAAAGCAGCCTCTCTCCATAGGGATTATAAACTACTTGGGAAGAGGAGCCTCGAACGAGAGCGGGGAGGTGGGACAGGAGGGCAGCTTGCCCCGTTGTGCAGTCTCCACGTGTGGCTGCAAGATGGGTTTCTGTTTGGCAGGTGCTGCTTTGTGCTTCCAACCAGAACAGCAGCATCGTGGAGTGCTGGTCTCTGAGGAAGGAGGGCTTGCCAGTCAACAACATCTTCCAGCAAATCTCTCCTGTGGGTGAGTGTCTGCACCAGGTACTCTTAAGAATGGGAGCGTGGTCTCAGTGGAAATGGAAGGCAGGTTCTCAGCTCCATTATCACACCCAGGGGACCATGCAGAAGGCCGTGTTTGTTTTAGAGGGGGTCTCAGTCCATCTCTTTGCCCCTTAGGAACCAGCTTGCTGGTTTCCAGGAGGGGATTTGTTCCTTTAACTCGATCCAAGGCATTCTGTGTGTTCTGTCCTCCCACCGCCCTGGTGTAAAGAGCAAACGCTCAATGTAATGTGGAACCCCTCTGAGTCGAGGAGGGCGGGCAGCAGTAGGAGGGGATGTTCCGATCTCCTCATGTAGAGGTGTCTCACTTGCTTACTTGCTTCTCAAAGTTGGAGACAAGCAGCCCATGATCCTCAAGTGGCGGATCCTCTCTGCCACCAATGACCTGGACCGCGTCTCGGCTGTGGCTCTGCCGAAGCTGCCCATCTCCCTGACCAACACTGACCTGAAGGTGGCCAACGACACCAAGTTCTTCCCTGGGTTGGGTAAGGGGGTTAATAAGTACTAAATAAGTAGCTTTTGCCTGAAACTTTGCCTTCTTAATTTGCTGAAATAAGAACGTGGAACAAACCATGCAGAATGCTGATGGGAAAACTGCCCAAGACGTGGTGTCTTCCTCAGCATCCCGTTTTTGGTTTCCATGGAAAGAGGTGTTTCTCTGTGGAAATGTGACCTTAAGAGACAAAGTGGGCTGTGAGCCTACAGCCTTTTGGGTGCTGTGAGCCCCCTTCTCTGGGCCAGGTCTGGGTTATCCCAGAGGAGTCACTAGCCCAGCCTTGGTTTGTCTTCTCTCCCCAGGCTTGGCTTTGGCTTTTCACGATGGCAGCGTGCACATTGTGCACCGCCTGTCCTTGCAAATGATGGCTGTCTTCTATGGGTCCTCCTCCCAGCGCCCCGTGGACGAGCAGGCCATCAAGAGGCAGCGAACTGCTGGACCCCTGGTTCACTTCAAAGCCATGCAGCTCTCCTGGACGTCCCTGGCCTTGGCTGGCATTGATAGTCACGGGAAGGTATTGTGCTCTGTTAGGGGGGGAAGTGAGATGTTCTCATCCAGGCTGC